GCTCTGCTGCTGGGCGGCTCGGCTGCTGGGCGGCTCGGCGGCTCGGCTGTTGGGCGGCTCGGTGGCTCAGCTGCTGGGCGGCTAGGCTGCTGGGCGGCTCAGCGGGGCCGCTGAGAGGGCCGCGTCAGGGGCCGCTGGGAGGAGGCGGCGGGGCCGCTGAGAGGAGGCGGCGGGGCCGCTGAGAGGAGGCGGCGGGGCCGGAAAGGTAGGTGGCGGGGCCGCGTCAGGGGCCGCGGCAGGGGCCGCGTCAGGGGCCGCGGCAGGGCCGCGTCAGGGCGCCGCGTCAGGGGCCGCGTCAGGGCGCCGCCAGGGGCCGCGGCAGGGCCGCGTCAGGGCCGCGTAAGGGGCCGCGGCAGGGGCCGCGTCAGGGGCCGCGTCAGGGCCGCGTCAGGGCCGCGGCAGAGCCGCGTCAGGGCCGCGTCAGGGGCCGCTTCAGGGCCGCGGCAGGGGCCGCAGCAGGCCGCGTCAGGGCCGCGTCAGGGGCCGCGGCAGGGCCGCGTCATGGCCGCGGCAGGGCACCGCCAGGGGCCGCGGCAGGGCCGCGTCAGGGCCGCGTCAGGGCCGCGGCAGAGCCGCGTCAGGGCCGCGTCAGGGGCCGCTTCAGGGCCGCGGCAGGGGCCGCGGCAGGCCGCGTCAGGGCCGCGTCAGGGGCCGCGGCAGGGCCGCGTCAGGGCCGCGGCAGGGGCCGCGTCAGGGCGCCACCAGGGGCCACGTCAGGCCGCGTCAGGGCCGCGTCAGGCGCCGCCAGGGGCCGCGTCAGGGCGCCACCAGGGGGCGCGTCAGGGGCCGCGATAGGGCGCCGGCAGGGGCCTCGTCAGGGCGCCGCCAGGGGCCGCATAGGGGGCGCGTGGGAGGCGGCGTAGGGGCCGCGTAGGGGCAGCGTAGGGGCCGCTAAAAAAAAAATTTAGGGCAGGGCGCAATGTGCGCGGGCAGCTAAAAAAAAAAATCTTATGGTGGGCCCTTAGGAAGGAACGGTCCCATGTAGGAACCCGCTCTATACCATGTGAATCAAGAAAACAGGAATGAAATGACTAAGTGAAAGTTGGGTACAAAAGGCAAACCCTAGGAAACTGTACCCCATATGTGCTACCCCACTATAGCCTACAGTAACTATGTCAAATAACTCTGACAAAAGGGAGAACAAGGTTAAGGAAAGCGCCTAAGTTAGCTATCGTGCAGTCACCATACACCCCTAATTAACTTATTAAGGGTCCGTGGGGGGGTTAGATGCAGTCTCAGACGTACGCACTGACGGAATAGCAGGCAAAACTGGAAGAGTCGAGGGTGGAGTTTAAACAGAGCAAAAAGGAACTAGATTGAAGATATACAGGTATCGTGAGCTTGCTGTGCGTTCGATGTGAAAATGGGCTGACCAATAGCAGCACATAAATCTGCCAGGGGTACGTGGTAGAAGTCTGGGGTGGGCATATTCGCGCAGGAGGTAGGGTTTGGTTGTGTTGTGAAGTGTTGGTGTGATGACGTGTAGTTTACGAAGGGTCGTGATTGGTTGTAAAAGAGTATTTGGCTTCACACGTCACTCAGGTTCAGGTGTGGGAAAGAAACGAAATTATTGTATCCACATTTTCAACTTCGCTTGCCTTCGTGGCTGTCTACACTTTCGTGATCTTCACACATTTGCAACTTTTGACAATGCCACTCCGCATCACCATTTGGAATCTTTCTTGACCGCGCGAAACCTACGACGCTAGTTCACGTCACTTTGGAGGGACTTTTTGGCGCTCGTCTTCGCAAACGGAAATTGTGTACGGAAAGTTGTGATTTCGGGTCGTTGCTTTTTGGATACTTCTCGCAACATTTCCGCAATCTTTTCGCAGAAAAACCTTAGGAGGCCAAAAATCGCAACTTCCCTTTTTCGCGATGGTGGCAATCCATCACCTTTCCAGTCACGAGCGCCGCCGGCGCGGCCGCGCCCGCAGCAGCGGCACGTTAGCGCACTTGCGGCGGTGCAGCAGTGGCGCTGGGAGAAATAACGGCCCATAGGTGATCGCGTCTTCTTAGGCGTCACCGTCACTCTTGAACAGTGACAGGCGCAGGGAATTTCACAAGGCTGGAGCCTCTGATGTGGAGTTGTATAGGAGGAATGGTGGCAGCACCAGAAATGAGCAGGGCGTGAATTATCATGAAATTGCACTAAATAACCCAGCTGGTGGTGATTACGGTGGTGGTGACTTCAGCGGTGGTGTCTATAACGGAGGCGACAACGGTGGTGAATATAATCGTGGCGACATCGGTGATGAACTATAATGGAGGCGACAACAGTGGTGACTATAATGGCGGCGACAACGGTGGTGACTATAATGGAGGCAATAACGGTGGTGACTATGGTGGTGACAACAACGGTGACTATCCTGGTGGTGACATTAGTGATTTTGTCGCCGTTGACAGCGTTGGTGTCAATGGGGAGGGCTTCCCTGGCGGTGCTGATGGTCGGAGCGGCGGTGCTGATGGTGGAAACGGCGGTGCCAATGGCGGAAGCGGTGGTGCCAATGGTGGAAATGGCGGTGCTAATGGTGGAAATGGCGGTGCTGACGGTGGGGACGGGGGTGCTGACGGTGGGAATGGCGGTGCTGCCGGTCGGAGCGGCGGGGCTGACGGTGGGAACGGCTGCGCTGCTGGTGGAAAGAGCGGAAGCATCGACGTCACGGGGATTCTCGAGGAGCACAATAAGGCACGAAAGGAAGTTGGTGTGCCCGACCTCGCATGGGACGACAAAGTGGCAGCAGCGGCACATGAATGGGCAGACACGTTGGTATTCATCGGGAGCTCGGGGCACGGCTTAGCAGAGAAGCTCGGGCAGAACGAAACGAGAAAACAGACTGGAAGAAACTCTCTTTCTCTCTCACCACCCATTCAACCTCTCTCCCCCCCCTTAACCTCTCTCCTCCCCCCTCCAGAGCAACAAGTGCTGCAGAGAGAGAGGAAGAGGGAGGGGAGGGACGGGCTGCAGCCAGCTCACACCCGCCACCCCCACATCTCCTCCCCCCCCACGGCGGAAGCCGCGGAAGGGAGGGGGGGACGGCGTTAGCTGCTGCTGGCGCTGGCGTCGTACATGGCGCCCGCGCAGGTGCTGGCGACGGGCGTTGGTGCTGGCGCACACGACTGTGCGCGCGTGCGCACGGTCGTACGCGGCTGCGCACAGCAATGCGCGGCTGCGCGCAGCTGCTACTGTGTTCGTGACGGAACGGGGCGGGGTAGGCGATGCGCGCGACGAGCAGGGCGCAACGGGCGCGACGAGGAGGGCGCCACGGACGGGACGGGCAGGGCGCAGGAAGCGCGGACGCGCAGGGCGCTGACGGGGGGGGCGAAACGAGGCCGCATCTGACGCCGTCGCGCAGCTCGCCATCACGAGCAGCGTGACGGACGAAAGCTGCGCGACGGGCAGCACCAAGCAGGGAGCGACGAGGGGCGCCACGAACGAAAATAAAGTGCAGGCCTAGGCGAACCAGGCTCTGATACCATGTTAGAATAGCCTTAGTCTTAGGAACCCTAGGCTAGAGTGGAGAGAGAGAATAGCGAGAGAAGGAAGGGGTTCTGACTATAGCACAGGTACAAGATATAGCAAGCACAAGTGGCCAAGGGAGGTACACCACCAATAGGAACATTTCTACAGTGATACTACACTGACTATATTGTATGCAGTTACATAAAGAATACAATTCTTGACAGGGGTGTCTATTGTCCGGGTGTCTCTTATAAACAGGGTAGCCTCATTATACGACACCTATTTGTGTGTACGAGTTATGCCAGTGTAGGGGTTAGGGGCAATTGTATAACGAGGGGGTATCTTCTAAACGATTCTTTGTCCATTTATAAGACTCATAAGACACCCTAAACCGTCCCAAATGCAAGACAACCCAAGCATTTTTGCCCGTGTATGAGATAAGACATATAGGTCTTATATCCGGGCGATGACGGTACTGGCTGTCACCCGCCGGGCTGACCCCACATGAGGACCGTGGGGCGGTGCAGTCATGGGTGGAGGAGAAGATGGACTGGACCCCCAGCCCGATTCCCCTTGGGTGCGCAGAAGGCAAGATGTGTGAGCACTACACGCAGGTGGTTTGGCGGGACACCACTCATGTCGGCTGCGCCTCAGCACGATGCCCTGATGGCTCGGGCATTTGGGTGTGCAAGTACTCGCCCCCGGGCAACTTCATTGGCGAAACTCCCTACTAGGGTGCGTGCTAGTGATATGGTGCAGGAGAAATGTTGTACTATTCAGCACATTTCAAAGTGAAAGGACTGTTTTGGAATGGAAGTATACTGTAGTAAGTATGGAAGAAATTTGAGAAGTACAATGCAACATTTGAAATTCATAACGTGCAATTTGTTATAGGTGTGAAAATGGCCAGTCGGGTACACCCGTGGTTCTCCCCAACCCTTTTCGCTGCCCCCAACGACCTCGAGTTGACTTGCGATTTTTGATTCTCGATTTCATCCCCAACTAGAACAATCTCAGAACCGAAACCAACCGATGTGAAACGTTATCATATCGCTCTGTCAGGCACTCAACCGCATCCATCACACATTTCAAGTCGCCCTGTAGATGGTGGTTCGCCTGGTGGTTGGATTTGGAATTTGTTCCTCCTAATCACTGGAAGGCCTGGCAGAGGGAAGGGAGGGAGGGTGTGTGTGACTAGTGGCGTGGCGTGGCGAGGTGAGGCGACTATCAACCATAAGCAGGGAGCATACCCGAACAGGCAATACTAGTTGTGGTTGACTTGACAGCGGTTACAGGTAGTCTTGCCACATCATTGCGCAGCGGCTACCGTACACCGTCATTTTGCATCATCCGCAGCAGGCGTTTACCCTTGTTGCACTAGAAATGAACCCTGCACCATTCGTGCTTTGACTCTTCTTCACCAATTCGTAGTCTTGACAGTCCGTGGTCAGGCCCTTTTCTGTAGCATTGTCCGTCCGTACCCAGCCTTACTCTGTAGACAGTTCCTGCGATTTCAGATGCCCGTCGCAACGGCCTGATGGATTCTCGAGGACTCAGTGGGCGACGCGGCGTGGGTGGGTCGCCACATGCCGCCAACGCGTCGCAGGCGACGGCTCTGCGACCCAGCAGCGGGTCGCCTGCGAGGTCCGCTTCGCCCTCCCGAAGCGGTGTCAGCAGCGCAATTCCCGGAGCCAGCTTAGTCACGTCGTCCACGTCAGCGTCCGGCGATCCGCGGAGAGGCGGAAGTGGCGGAGGCGGAAGCGGAAGCTCGTCCCCCGTCCTCCGCCACGCCTCGCGCGGGCCCTCGTTTAAGTCACAGCAGCCGCGCCGCGATTCGCGCCGCAATCCGCTCCTGCAATTCGGCCTCCAGTGCCTGACCACATCCGCCGCCATTCTTCTCTTCGCGTTACTGTTCACAGCCGACGCGATTATATCTTCAATTTTATCCTCCCCCAGATCTACCTCCCCCGGCTCGTCCTCCCTCTCAATCGTCTCCGATCCCTTCGGCTCTGTCCACGTGGCAGTAGGGGATGGGTCAGGCTCCAGGCGACGAGCCGCGGAGTACGAAAAAGAGGCCTACCAGAACCTTGCCGGCTCTGGCGGCGGAAAAGGCGGGAACGGGGAAGGCGGTTCCAGCGCAGCGGCGCGGGGAAGCGCGGAGAAGCAGGCGGGGAGCGCAGGGGGGGGAGTTGCGGAGGCGGGAGGGCGCGCGGGGGTGCGGTGGCGCGCGGAGAGGCTGCGCGTGCAGTGGTCGGGTCCGCCCATGGGGGAGGAGGTGCAGCAGCGCGTGGCTGCGGCAACGGCGGTGGTGGCGGATGAGCGGAAGAGGCTCAACGCACAGCCGTTCCAGCTGCACATTCTGGTGAGTGGTTGAGGCCGGTCCAACGTTGTGTTGAGCGGTTGAGGCCGGTTTAGGCTTCACATTGTGGTGAGTGGCGGATGAGATGAGAGGAAGAGACCCAGTCCCACTTGTTCCAGTTCCAGCCGCACATTCTGGTGAGTGGTGTGGCGGAATAGGGTTCAACTGCAAACTCCTGCCTTTCCTTCTGAGGCGCCTCAAAAGTCGTTCCATCCTCACATGGTGGTGGTGGCGGATGAGCGCAAGAGACTCAACAGCCAGCTGTTCCAGCTGCGCATTCTGATGAGTGGTGGATCAAGGTTCAGCCGCAAGCTCCTGCTTATGTTGTGGTGCTCCTGCTTTGAAAGTCGTTCCAGCCTTACCTTGTGTTGGTGGTGGACGAGCCGAAGAGGGAGACTCAACGCTCAGCCGCACATTCTGATGAGTGGTGGATCAAGGTCAGGTCAGTCACTGCAGGACGTGACGTATGGCGAGGACGAGGTGCAGCACAGCTCACCGTTGCCTCATCAACCTGACCCTCCCTTTGCTCTCTTCCCTCTCCCTCAATTTTCCCCGTTTTCCCCCTCCCTATCATCCCATCCCCCACACCCTCATCCCTCGCATCGCTCCCATTGACAGGTGAGGGCGGAGTGCGACAGCAAGGGGCTGAAGGCGCTGCTGCAGTCACTGCAGGACGTGAAGTACGGAGAGGACGAGGTGCAGTGCAGCTCACCGTTGCCTCAACCTCACCCGCCCTTTCCCACCTTCCTCCTCCCTTTTCCCCCTCCCTTTGCCCACGTCTCCCTCCGTTTTATCCCTCCCCCCCCCCCCACACCCCCGCCCCACCCTCGTCCCTTGCATCGCTTCCTGTGAGCAGGTGAGGGCGGAGTGCGACAGCAAGGGGCTGAAGGCGCTGCTGCAGTCACTGCAGGACGTGAAGTATGGCGAGGACGAGGTGCAGCTCACTGTTGCCACCACGTGTAGCGCTGCTGCTAGAAGCGCACAGGTGAGGAGGGAATAGGTGTTCCTGATACAGTCACCTGGTAAGTCACTTGCTGTTGCTGCAGTCACTTCAGGACGTGAAGTATGGCGAGCACCTGCAGCACTGCTGCCAGGAGCGCACAGGGGAGGAGGAAAGAGGGATGGAGGTGAGAACTTAGAAGTAGGGGGGAGGTTAGAAGGGGGGTAAGGCGAGGACGAGGTGCAAATGAGGCCTGTACTTTGTCCTTGCTCCCATGCCAGGACGAGGTGCAAATGAGGCCTGTACTTTGTCCTTGCTCCCATGCCAGGACGAGGTGCAAATGAGGCCTGTACTTTGTCCTTGCTCCCATGCCAGGACGAGGTGCAAATGAGGCCTGTACTTTGTCCTTGCTCCCATGCCAGGACGAGGTGCAAATGAGGCCTGTACTTTGTCCTTGCTCCCATGCCAGGACGAGGTGCAAATGAGGCCTGTACTTTGTCCTTGCTCCCATGCCAGGACGAGGTGCAAATGAGGCCTGTACTTTGTCCTTGCTCCCATGCCAGGACGAGGTGCAAATGAGGCCTGTACTTTGTCCTTGCTCCCATGCCAGGACGAGGTGCAAATGAGGCCTGTACTTTGTCCTTGCTCCCATGCCAGGACGAGGTGCAAATGAGGCCTGTACTTTGTCCTTGCTCCCATGCCAGGACGAGGTGCAAATGAGGCCTGTACTTTGTCCTTGCTCCCATGCCAGGACGAGGTGCAAATGAGGCCTGTACTTTGTCCTTGCTCCCATGCCAGGACGAGGTGCAAATGAGGCCTGTACTTTGTCCGTGCTCCCATGCCAGGACGAGGTGCAAATGAGGCCTGTACTTTGTCCTTGCTCCCATGCCAGGACGAGGTGCAAATGAGGCCTGTACTTTGTCCTTGCTCCCATGCCAGGACGAGGTGCAAATGAGGCCTGTACTTTGTCCTTGCTCCCATGCCAGGACGAGGTGCAAATGAGGCCTGTACTTTGTCCTTGCTCCCATGCCAGGACGAGGTGCAAATGAGGCCTGTACTTTGTCCTTGCTCCCATGCCAGGACGAGGTGCAAATGAGGCCTGTACTTTGTCCTTGCTCCCATGCCAGGACGAGGTGCAAATGAGGCCTGTACTTTGTCCTTGCTCCCATGCCAGGACGAGGTGCAAATGAGGCCTGTACTTTGTCCGTGCTCCCATGCCAGGACGAGGTGCAAATGAGGCCTGTACTTTGTCCGTGCTCCCATGCCAGGACGAGGTGCAAATGAGGCCTGTACTTTGTCCTTGCTCCCATGCCAGGACGAGGTGCAAATGAGGCCTGTACTTTGTCCTTGCTCCCATGCCAGGACGAGGTGCAAATGAGGCCTGTACTTTGTCCTTGCTCCCATGCCAGGACGAGGTGCAAATGAGGCCTGTACTTTGTCCTTGCTCCCATGCCAGGACGAGGTGCAAATGAGGCCTGTACTTTGTCCTTGCTCCCATGCCAGGACGAGGTGCAAATGAGGCCTGTACTTTGTCCTTGCTCCCATGCCAGGACGAGGTGCAAATGAGGCCTGTACTTTGTCCTTGCTCCCATGCCAGGACGAGGTGCAAATGAGGCCTGTACTTTGTCCTTGCTCCCATGCCAGGACGAGGTGCAAATGAGGCCTGTACTTTGTCCTTGCTCCCATGCCAGGACGAGGTGCAAATGAGGCCTGTACTTTGTCCTTGCTCCCATGCCAGGACGAGGTGCAAATGAGGCCTGTACTTTGTCCTTGCTCCCATGCCAGGACGAGGTGCAAATGAGGCCTGTACTTTGTCCTTGCTCCCATGCCAGGACGAGGTGCAAATGAGGCCTGTACTTTGTCCTTGCTCCCATGCCAGGACGAGGTGCAAATGAGGCCTGTACTTTGTCCTTGCTCCCATGCCAGGACGAGGTGCAAATGAGGCCTGTACTTTGTCCTTGCTCCCATGCCAGGACGAGGTGCAAATGAGGCCTGTACTTTGTCCTTGCTCCCATGCCAGGACGAGGTGCAAATGAGGCCTGTACTTTGTCCTTGCTCCCATGCCAGGACGAGGTGCAAATGAGGCCTGTACTTTGTCCTTGCTCCCATGCCAGGACGAGGTGCAGGCACATGACCGTGCCACCCGCCGCTAGCGCTGCTTCTAGAAGAGGCATGGTGTGATGACCCCCTCCCGTTCCTCCCACCCCCAGGAGTTCCCCTGGTTCCACGGCCCAAGGCGCGTAATCGAGCTATCAGGCAACAGCGCCAAGCCCACCGACCCGCTGCCCCTCTGGTTCCCCGCCTCCCCCCGCGAGTTCCTCCTCCTCCTCGACCCCTCCTCCCGCGTCTCCCCCGGCCTCTACCCCGTGCTTAAAGCCCTCGCCCTTGCGCCCGCCGCTGCTGGCAACCCTGCTGCTTTCACAGTTGAGGCGAGCGTTGGGGGGTTCTATGGGGGCTATGGGGGAGAGGGTGGGGGGGAGGGGGCAGGGGAGAAGGAAGGCCGGGAGGGAAGCAGCAGCAGCCGCAGCAGCAGTGCTGGGGACAGTAACGGAGGGGGGGACAGTAACGGAGGTGACAGTAGCGACGAGGAGAGCACGGGGGCGCATGTGTCAGGGCTATTTGGAATCGCACTAGACCCAGACTCACCCTTCCTGGCCGAAGATTCACCCATTATGACGGGCTTTAAGCGCCCAGAAGAAGCCTTACTAGGGGGAGCAGCAGCAGCAGGAGCAGCGCGATGGGGCAGGGGCAGCAGGAGGGGCAGCAGGAGGAGGGGTAGGAGCGGCAGGGGGAGAAGCAGGGGTGGGGGTGCTGTCGTTGGCCATGACTCGCACGTGCCAGGTGGTGTTTCCTCAGCCGTGGCGGCAGTTCTGGGCGTGGCACGCGCTGTCTCAGGCCCAGCAGGTCAACTCCGCGCACCTCAAGTTCGATTGGGATGCATATGACTTCAGTGCCCCGTGCAGAGAAGGTGAGATGAGGGTGAGATGGAGAGAGGGACGTATGGGTCTGCTTGGGCAGTTCTGGGCGTGGCACGCGCTGTCTCAGGCCCAGCAGGTCAAGCAGCGCCCACCTCAAGTTCGACTGGGACGCCTATGACTTCAGCGCTCCCTGCGGAGATGGTGAGACGGGGGCCAGGGTTTTGGGCGTACCAGGAAGGTGAGACATGGAGTTGATATCCAGAACCCCAGCCGGGGTTTTGGACAAATGGATCGTTTCCTCTAAACCCTCCTGATTATTTCCCTCCCGACCTCTCTCTCTCCACTCGCCCCATTTCAACTTCCCCCACCAGACTGGCGAGTAAGCTTCCTCGCGTTTGTGGAGGAGAGCGACGATCGCTATAACCTTATGCTGCCACTTCGCTTCTTCGCTTCACTTTTGAGAAGAACAAAACCCTCCCCCCCCATCTCAACCACCAGACTGGCGAGTAAGCTTCCTCACGGTTGTGGAGGAGAGCGACGATCGCTATAACCTTATGCTGCGCGCGCACACTCCCAACTTGTTTTGAGTCGACTCAAAACAAAGCTTCCTCACGTTTGTGGAGGAGAACGATCACTATAACCTTATGCTGCGCACACACACTCCCAACTTCTCTCCCCTCCCCCCGTTGCCACTCCACCGACCAGACTGGCGAGTGAGCTTTCTGACGTACGTGGAGGACAACGATCTCTATAACCTCATGCTGCCACTTTGCTTCTTCGCTTCACTTTTGCGTCGACTGAAAAACCTCCCCTCCCGTCTCAACTCAACTATCAGACTGGCGAGTGAGCTTTCTGACGTATGTGGAGTAGAACGATCTCTATAACCTTATTCTGCTCCGTCTGCTGCTCCTCTCTTTCCCACTTGCCTTCCGCTACCCCCATCTGCCGCACCCTTCCCCTTCCCGCACCAGACTGGAGAGTCAGCTTTCTCACCTACGTGGAGGAGAACGACCTCTATAACCTTATGCTGCGCACACTCGACCCTCAGGAGGTGTGTGCATGAGAGTGTGCGTGCGTGCGCGCGCTAGCGCGTTGAAAGACATTCCAGCGAGCAGCAGTTCTGTGTGTACCTTAGCAGCAGTTCTGTGTGTACCTTAGCAGCAGTTCTGTGTGTACCTGAGCAGCAGTTCTGTGTGTACCTTAGCAGCAGTTCTGTGTGTACCTTAGCAGCAGTTCTGTGTGTACCTGAGCAGCAGTTCTGTGTGTACCTTAGCAGCAGTTCTGTGTGTACCTGAGCAGCAGTTCTGTGTGTACCTGAGCAGCAGTTCTGTGTGTACCTGAGCAGCAGTTCTGTGTGTACCTTAGCAGCAGTTCTGTGTGTACCTTAGCAGCAGTTCTGTGTGTACCTTAGCAGCAGTTCTGTGTGTACCTTAGCAGCAGTTCTGTGTGTACCTTAGCAGCAGTTCTGTGTGTACCTTAGCAGCAGTTCTGTGTGTACCTTAGCAGCAGTTCTGTGTGTACCTTAGCAGCAGTTCTGTGTGTGTAAGGTCGCCTCATGTGTATGGCGACCTTACAACCTCATGCTGCGCACACTCGACCCTCAGGAGGTGTGCACCGCACCTTAGAATGTGGTTTCTTGTCTTTGTGTGCCCGCGCTTGTGTGTTGTGTGTGTGTGTGTGTGTGTGTGTGTGTGTGTGTGTGTGCGTGTGTGTGTGTGTGTGTGTGTGTGTGTGTGTGTGTGTGCGCGCGCGCGCGCGCGTGTGCGCGCGTGCGTGCATGTGTGTGCGCGCATGAGTGTGCGTGCGTGTGTGTGCTTGCGCGCGTGCGTGTGTGCATGCGTGCTTGCGCGTGTGCGTGTGTGTGCGCGTGTGTGTGTGTGTGTGTGTGTGTGTGTGTGTGTGTGTGTGTGTGTGTTTGCGGCGTGTGTGGGTGTGAGTGTGTGTGCGTGTGAGTCGTGACACCCTCAGCTCACTCTGCATAGGCTCCCAACCCAATCCCACCGCTCCCCACTCATGCCAATCCCACCGCTCCCCACTCTTGCCAATCCCACCGCTTCCCACTCTTGCCAATCCCACTGCTTCCCCATCCCTCACCTACACTCATCACCCCATCCTCTTCCCTTCTCACCTCCTCCCACCCTCCCCATGTTTCCTCGTTACATGCCTTCCACGTTTCAGTCAACCCCTACACTACAGGTCCCTACCAGCCCTTTTCCCTACAACCCTTTGCAACCTTTCCCCCTCACGACCTTAACAGCCCCACACGGATGTGAGGTCTCAGGGGCCCTCACTCAGGAGGTCACATGACCATGCTTCCTTCCCACGTTCCCACCCCTACAGGACCTGAACAGCCCCATGCGTCTCTGCTTCTCAATCAACTCCCTACCTCCTCTCGCCTACCCACCCCTTCCCAGTCTCTCCCACCCGTTCCTCATCACCCATCCTACCCCCATTTGAACCCTTCGCAACCGTCCCCCCTACAGGACCTGAGCAGCAACACTCGTCTCTGCTATTCAATCGACTCCCAACCCCCTCTCGCCTACCCCACCGCCACCCCCACCCTCCTCCCGCTCCCCTCTGCGCTCCGCCTCTCCTCCTCCCTCTCCCTCCACCTCACCACGTCCCCGCGCTCCCTCGCGCCACTGCCCCGGGTGGACCATTGTGGGAGGGAGGTGCCGCGGGGGGAGGTGGCGTGGAGTGCAGGCGAGCTGAGAGGGCTGCTGCAGCGCATAGCGCGGCACTCTGCCGTGGCTGGGGTGATGGTTTCACCAGGATATGATGACATGCTCAACAACTGGGTGTGCTATGTCAAGGTGGGTCGGGGCCCCCTCTCCTCTCCCTCTCCACCTCACCACCGCCCCCCGCTCCCTCGCTCTGCTGCCCCGTGTGGAGTGCGGGCGAGCTGAGAGGGCTGCTGCAGCGCATTGCGCGGCACTCTGCTGTGGCGGGAGTCATGGTGTCGCCGGGATATGATGACATGCTCAACAACTGGGTGTGCTATGTCAAGGTGGGTGGTGGGTGTGCAAGAGTAGTCCCGTGTTACGCCAGGATACAGTGCATTGCGTGCCACCCTGTGGTGGCGTGGAGTGCGGGCGAGCTGAGGGGGCTGCTGCAGCGCATTGCCAGGCACTCTGCCATGGCGGGAGTCATGGTGTCGCCGGGCTATGATGACATGCTCAACAACTGGGTCTGCTATGTCAAGGTGGGTCTGCTATGTCAAGGTGGGTCTGGACCCCCTCTCCTCTCCCTCTCCACTCCACCTCCCCCCGCTCCCTCGCCCCGCTGCCCCGTGTGGAGTGCGGGCGAGCTGAGAGGGCTGCTGCAGCGCATTGCCAGGCGCTCCGCTGTGGCTGGGGTAATGGTGTTGCTGGGCTATGATGACATGCTCAACAACTGGGTGTGCTACGTCAAGGTGGGTACATTGGGATCCGAGGGCAATGTGATACAAAGCACAGCAGAGCACAACAGAGCGCATGGCATGGCACTCGGTGGTGGCTGGGGTCATGGTGTTGCTGGGATATGACGATACTCCGTTTCTCCTCCTTCACCACTCTCTCGCCCTCTGCTTATCAGCGCTTACTTCCCTCTCGTCCCAATCCTCCCACCTCCTTGCAAGAGCTTCAAATCCGTAACTTTGTTAAAGCACAGGATGCGCCACGCACTGAGACGATTTTTGGGGAGCCTCTAAAGCACAGGATGCGCCCCACACCGCCGCTCTCTTACAGTATATTCACGTACCCTCCCTTCCTCCCCCCCCTCCCATCTCCCAACAGGAGCTTCAAATCCGAAATTTCTTTATAATCACGCAGGACCCAGAACACGCGTTCTCTCTGAAGCGGCGGGGCTTTGCAGTGTACTGTGCCGGGTGCAGCAAGCCAGGGGCAGGCGGGGGTGTGGGTGGGACAGGGCAGGAAGGGGCAGGAGCCGCTGCTGGTGCTGCTGCTACCGATGGTGGTGCTGCTGCTGGTGGTGCTGCTGCTGGTTCAGACACTGCAGGAGGGGTTGGTGCTGCCAGCATAAGCGCTGGTGCCAATTCAACAGCAGCAGAAGCAGCAGCAGCTGATGGAACAGCTCCAGGCAATAATACTGCTCCTGGGAATAACTTGACAGCAGGAAGAGAAGGGGCAGCAGCTGCAGCAGCAGAAGCAGCAGCATTGAGCACCAGACGAGCAGCTCTAGACTATGGCAGTGTACCCTATAAAGAGTTCATTCTCGCGCGCACTAAAGCTGTAGGGGGAGATCCTTAAAGCGGGTTACAACGTCCTGCTAGCCGATGCCGACGCTATATGGCTGTCAGACCCATTCACCTCCCTTAAAGCCCAGGGAATCGACGTTCTAGCCCAGCTAGAAGAGAAAGGGAACCCATGCGGAGGGTTCTTACTCCTGGTTCACACCCGAAAGCTTATCGTTTTATGGGATCTGCTTACGGCTATGTTTGAGCAGCATATCGACTGGCTTAAAACGCATCCCTCTAAAAGGGATCCGGACGAGTATAAGAGGTTCCTTCGCTCGCAGCAGCACAACCACGAGCAGAAATTCTTAAACGATTTACTTGGGCAAAAGAGATACGCGGTGCAGCTGCAGGGGTTGGATCCGCTGCTGTTTATCAACGGGAGGGACTATTGGGACCGGAGGAAAGCGCAGAAGGAAGGGGTGACGCCAGTGATGATTCACAACAACTACATCATTTCCAAGTGGAACAAGACGAGGAGGTTTTTGATTAAGGGCATGTGGCGGGTCGACCACCGAGGTGAGTCAGGCATAGGGTAAGGTAGCGACTAGTGTAGGTAAAGGCGTATGGAGGAGCAAGGGAGGGAAGCGCCAGGGACGGTAACACCTGCGGGAGATAACACCTGGGAAAGCTGTAAGAAGGTGCAGTGGGTGGGAGGTGCAGAAGGAGGGGTGACGCCGGTGATGATCACAACAACTACATCATCTCAAAGGGGAACAAGACGAGACGGTTTCTGATTAAGGGCATGTGGCGGGTGGACCACCGAGGTGAGAGGAGTGTGCCAAGTGCCTGCCTGCCTGCCTGGCTCTCTTTTGCATGCGACCCAGAGGACCCTGGTACCGCACCAGCAACCCCACCAACAACCCACCCACCCTGCATCCCTCGCTAATGAAACCAATTTCTCCTCCCATTTTCCCTCCATCCACTTCCCAATCCCCAACCTCCAATTCCCTCCCAGGCCAAGCGTGCAAGTGCCTGGCTCTCTCCTGCACGCGCCCCAAGGACCCCTGGTCGCTCACCAACAACCCCACCCTCCCTGCCTGCTAATCATCCTCTTGTCTCTTTTCCTCTCCCTGCGTCGCTACCCATCCACTTCCTCCAATCCCCTGTGCAAGTCCAGGCCAAGCGTGCAAGTGCCTGGCTCTCTCCTGCACGCGCCCCAAGGACCCTTGGTCGCTTACCAGCAACCCCACCCTGCCTGCTGCGCTGAGGGCCACCGCTGGGATCAAGCCGCAATCGCTGCCAAAGCGTAGGCGAGGAGGAGGCAGCAAGCAGAAGAACCAAGGAGGGCCTGTTGCTGCCACCAACTCTTCTTTTTCTGCTGCTGCTGGTGCTGCTGGTGGTGCTGGTGGTGCTGGTGCTGGTGCTGGTGCTGGTGGTAAGGCTGGTGGTGCTGCTGGTGCTGCCGGGAGGGCAGCAAAGCTAGTGGGAAGCCTGTTGAGGAGCGTGGTTGGCAGTGGAAGGAAGGATGAGGAGACGAAAGGTGATGATCACAAGAGAGGGGCAGCAAAGGGAGCGGGGTTGAGGGATGGTGAAGCAGCGGGGTTGAAGGAGGGAGCAGCAAAACCAGTGGGAACAGAAGCGCAAACGGGGAAGAAGATGGAGCTTCAGCAGCAGCAGAAATTGACAGGGAGAGGGAGAGGGGCAGGGGCAGGGAGAGGGAGAGGGACAGGGGCAGGGAGAGGAGGGACTACTGCTAGAGGTTCTAAGAGTAGTGATGTGGCTGCAGCCGCTGCTGCTGATGCTGCTGCTGATGCGGCAGCAGCCGCTGCTCTTTCTGCTGCTGGCAAGGTGGCACAGGGAAGGGAGCAGCTCAAGACAGCACAGGGAAAGGAATCAAAGACAAAGGCTACAATAGGAAAAGGCCAGGAGTCAGGACCAAACAGGGGCAAAGGGAAGATGGCAGCAGCAGCAGAGGCAGGGGCAGCAGGAGGGAGAAAAACAGCAGCGGTTGGTGGGAGGGGGGCAGCTACGGGTGTGAAAGGGAGGGGTGGTGTTGTGAGGCCTGGCCAGGTGAAGGGGATTGAGAGTAAGGTGATTCAGAAGGGCAGGCAGAGGCTGCAACAAGTAGCAAAGAGAGGAGGGAAGGGTGCGCAGCGGGTGAAGCGTTAGCAGATGCGCGTTGTGTTTTTCATGGCATGTTTTTGTGAACAGCAAGTTCATTGTAAGGAGTGATCCAGCTTTGGCACAAAACCGACTCAGATCCACTTTACGTGTTGCCTGCTCAGCAACTCTATCTGATATCATGCGAGTTGTGCACAGTATAAACAAACAGATGGGCCCCTCTGTACTTTGCATGGTCATACTACCCCACCACGGGTCATACCGTACTGGTCGCAATGTGCTTATCTACAGTTCTTCCTGCCTGTCGTGTGTTCAGGCTTCGTGCAAGGGAAGGTCGGCGGCTGGTAAGGGAAGAATAAAACCTACAGTATGGGCTTCCACTCGTGGTGGGGTCGTGTTCCACATAATACCGTAATAGAGGCACGAAGTGGTGGGGTCGTGTTCCACATAATACCGTAATAGAGGCACGAAGTGGTGGGGTCGTGTTCCACATAATACCGTAATAGAGGCACGAAGTGGTGGGGTCAAACTACCCCACCAAGAGTACCGAAAAAGAGGCTTCCCTTCCACGTTTCAATTCTCTAGTGCAAGCATCAAGCCGCCTCCTCTGCTTCCTTGGGTCGCCAGACGGCCTTTTGGAACGCCAGCAGCACCTCTCCGCCCTCAGTCTGGTTGAACTTGAGCTTCCAGCATGGGAGATGGCACCATGGCAAAACCATAGCGAGTCATTCTACGAAATGCACCACACTGAGTGTGCATACTTGATTGGCGTTTGTGACGGGTCCCTGGTGGATAACAATGGGAGCACAAAGAGGAGAAGATGACAGCAAAGCATTCTCTAGTAACTGGTGCAGAAAGGGAAGTGGAAAACCTAGTACAGGCATGCGGTTGGAGAACGATCAATAACTTACGGAATATATTGTGCAAGAAATGGCATGTCGAGTGGGTCGGAGGAGATAATAGAAAAAATATCGCCTTCGCAGTTCTCTGTAGTGTAGACTCTGAATGCTGAGCAATCCGGATCGGAGTCGATGTTCGTAACATAATACGCTGTTGTGACCTTTTCCACTACTGCATCTGGGAACTGAGTGCAGCCATTGGCAACGAGGCGGAAAGTGTAGGGTCGGGAAGCCTTGTCCTTTGCAGTTTGATTGGCGATGAGTGTGAAGCTGAAAGCAGAGATTGCGGAATTTCCACCTGAGAAAGAGTGGCACAAGAAACTACTCAGTACAACGCTGATTACATGATTGGACATGAATCGCCATGTTCAGGCAACTTAGGCCAGCATCAAACATTGAGCCAGCTTGGCACAGTGAGGAAAACCGAAGCAGAGAGGTGACTGGCGAGTGAAGAAAGTAGAAAATGGAGTGCGCACGTTTGACAGAAACTCACCCTTAACACACTTGGTCGGGGTCATCCCATATCCCTCAGGGCAAGCGAGGTGTATTTTGAGGCGCCTCAAAATACACCTCACTGCACACGGATTTTGAGGGGCCTCAAAATACACGTTTGACAGAAACTCACCCTTAACACACTTGGTCGGGGTCATCCCATATCCCTCAGGGCAAGCGCAGTAAGGCACCTGCACCGAAGGGTCTTCCGTTGCAGGTACAGATTTGCAGGTGGCTCCAGAGGGGCAGTTACCACAAGGAGAGGCTGAAGAACGCAACAAGCAAGGGAGAAGCAAGGGAGAAGCAAGACAGGGCAGAGAGATGGTGAAAGCGTTATGGGTAAAGGGTGGGAATGGGTGAGATGCGACATGTTAGTCGGATTGCTAGAGGCGGGTTGTGGCTTAAGATGAACGAGAAAGGAAGAGGTGGGTCAGCTAAAAGACGAATCATAGTGCTCCCCCCTCGCTCCCATGGGGAAGGGGCAGATGCCATTCAAAAGAATGGCATTGAGTTGTAACTTGTGTGGCGCCGTCAAAATGGATGGATGGAATGGAAATAGGAAAATTTTATGGGACTTGACATACGAATGCATGTGTTGAAGTGAGAGTGGGAAAGCGGGACAGCCATGCTCACCCCACTGGCAAAAAAACTCGCCGTTCTGATCCACTGCACAGGAGCCATCTTGGCCACAGCCCAATGCCACACACGCAGGATCTGCAGCACGAAAAAGGGGCAGCAAACAGAGATTTGAAAATCCTTAGTGACGCTTTAATGGCATAGGAATGACCCAGGGATGACAGAGGGCGTTATTGGAATGGCACAGGCTGAAGCGTGGCCATGTATGGCTTCAATACTGACAAATAGGTCATATGATTGCCAAGCTTTCACTTGCCACAGACAAAGGCATCGCTGCTTAGAACCAAGCAGCAGCAGCGTCACTTCAGAACCGCAATCCCCAGAATCACGCCCTTGAAGAGGTGGTTGCAAGAGCACAAAGCCCCCTCCAGGGGGTCAGCAATGGACGTACCAATGGGAGCATCGCAGAGAACCGACGCCACTGAAGCCCACTTGAGGATCTTCTTCTCAGTGCTTGGGGACCTGAAAGGCGTTGGTAACACAAGCTCTCACATTCAGATCAAAACCGTTCCTTTATCCCCTCCTTTCCCTTCTCCTCCTCTTTCCTCCCTCCTTTCCCTCCCCATCCCTCTCCTCCCCATCCCTCCCTTCCTCCCCATAAGTCATGCAATGCACTTCCCTCCCCTCCTCCCCATCCTCTTGTCATGACGCACACGACTCGAACTCACATGGACCCAGACGTGAGCGGGTTGACGATACTGTCAAGCACCATGCCCTTGCAACCGCCTTTACCAAAGAACTTGACCTGCGCGCATTGGCCACCCGCCAACGCCAACGTGCTGTTGGAGTTCCCGCTGCCCTTCCACCACACTGTCACGCCATTCTTCAGCACCTTCTTGGGCATTCTCACGCAGCGCTGCGTGCTGAAGCTGAGCCGCGCCTTGCCCACCGCCACCGCCGTGGCAACCTGCACGCTGGCCGCCCCAGTAGTGGTGCTGGCGCTGGCGCTGGCGCTGGTGCTGGTGCTGGTGCTGGTGCTGGTCGCGAGCGCCCTCCTCGCGTTGACCTCCGGTTCGGTCGTCGGTTCGGCCGCCGGGTCGCCGCCGTATGCTGTCTTCATCATCCCTGCCGCTGCATGCACAAGCGAGACGACGTGCGGAAAGAGAATGGAGAAGGAGGGTGGAAGGAGAAGACAGAATCGAGATGAAAGAAGGAGGGGGTGGAACACAGAAGAGAGCAGGAAGGAGGGAGCAGGGAGAAAGGCATGGATGGCACACCACACACCACACAAATCACTGCAATGTCTCAAAGAGAATTGAGGGGAAAACGGACTGACCGCAAATGAGGGCAATCGCGTTTTGAGTCGACTCAGAAAACGGACTGACCGCAAATGAGGGCAAGCGCGAGGAGCAGTAGGCCGGCTGGAGAGGCGGCCAGAGACGTCCTCATGGTGAAGAAAGATGGGCCGAACCGCGCGGAAGTTTCTGTGACGTTGAGTCACGACGAGTGTGTAGAGTGCGGAGTGCGGAGTGTAGGTAAGTTGCCGTCCTTTCGAAGTACTAAGCACGACGCCGTCCTTTTCAGCTGCTGGCCGTAGAATAGTGTCCGGGACAGTCCAATGCAAGGCAAGTCCAACAGATTAATGCAAGGCGGCAAGTCCAAGGCCAGTCCAGTGCAAGGCGAGTCCAGTGCAAGGCAGATCGAAAGGAGAATGGTAGAATGCCAAGGATGAAATGGCAAGCTTGCTTCGGGCTTTGAATATGCTGGGCTGGTGATTTGTAATGCGAGATAAGTGCGTGACAGCAGCGTGACAACCGCTGCGCCATGATGGTAGCGATTTAGGCTCGCGATATGTGTTTGGCTTGAATCCAAGGAACGCAATGCGTGCGATGGGTGGCTTGACGGGGCGTCCGTGCGTCACGAGCACGGTGCTTGACTCGATTGAGTCGTGGGGAAGTAAAAATAGAGAACGCGATTACTATTCGCGAACCAATGGCGCAATGCGCTGGCTTCCACCAAAACCCATTTCGTTCGTCGCTTCCAATCAGGTTCAGCCGTGGAAACGATGCGACTACGTGCCAATCTCGTTGACCTAGCAGCTGAATCAAATGGGCGACCATAATGCGACCTAGGTTCGTTATAGTATACCCGTTTGACGGCTGGCTATACGAGAGACGCGTTCGAAGTTGTGAATCTCGCCAGCCAGATCAGAGAAGTTGTAATCCAACGATTCCTCCCGAGGCCCTTTTGGGATTAACACCCTAGTGCAAAGATCCAACGGCCACCTGCGATGCAGAACGCGTAAGAACTCCCAGATGTGACTCTGTTCCAGCGTCATTCACGGCTATCGAATTTGGGTCAAATAGTTCATGGTGAGGGCGCATCACTTTTAGACGAACAGGTACAGATTTCGTTTTTTTTTTTTCACATCAGTTACCCGTTTTTCGCCTTGTAACAACTACAAACAGTGAACTGCGAGCATTGACGCGGAACTGTTCATTGATTGTGTACAGTTTCGAAACTGACAGCATTACGTGCACTGCACATAATGCCAACCAGCGCAAAAACGTATGGCGGCTCGTGTACCTTGTCAAGCGGAGAAACAGGTAACATTGTTCCAGCCGCCACATTATTTCGCATGAAGAATCTGAATTTTCGGGACATCCAATTTGTAGGGTCAGTGTCGAATGCCTGTAACCCTGGGATTTTCGCACTGCCATTGTACTTTACATATCGAGTGCGTTACACGATATGTACACGTTCAAATGCTGTCAACATAGATGAACCCTAGAATGACCAAAATCTGAAAATCTGGCCGTTCATCTAAACCTGACGCGCCCTGAGGGCATATCAGACGAGTTCAAAAACTGTTCAGCTGACGACGTGGAGATTCAGCGCTCGACTCAGGGTTACTGCTTCAGTCTGGGAGTTGGTGCTGTGTCGTGGAGGTCTACACGGTCGTCGTCTGTGGCTACTTCCAGTGCGGAGGCAGAGATCTACGCTGGTGCCATGGCGGCACAGGAGCTTCGCTGGTTGACCTTCTTGCTCGCCGACCTTGGTGAGCGGCCTCGCTCTGCACCGACCTTGTACGCTGACAACAAGGCCATGATCCTCCTCTGTCGAGAGCCTCGACTGGAGAGCAGAGTGAAGCATATTGACGTGAAGTACTTCCTCCTGCGAGAGCTGCAGCGATGCGGCCAGGCACGCCTGGACTTTGTGGCCTCAGAGGCCAACACTGCAGACGTCTTCACCAAGGCCCTGGCGCTTGGTGACCACCACAGGTTCTGTGTGCAGTTGGGGCTTGTTGAGGTAGGCCCTCGGTTGCTATAGACTTGTTACTTGCTCTGCTTGTTGTGTTTTCCTATATATATCATAGTGAACTCTTGAACTGGCCTTGTGGCCGCTTGCTTGTGCTCGGAATTTGTGTGGTGTCCTTGAGATCCACCCTGAGCTTGCCTTGCTTCTTGTCTTGACTGGTCTTATGACCATTTGTTCACCCTGCTTGCTTTGATGCCCCTCACTTAGCCTATGGGGGTGTGTCAAATGTTGAACATTGTTATAATAGGCTGTAGTGAGTAGCACTGTAGAGAGTACAACACGTTCTAGGTTTGCTATTTGTATCACTCCCTATCCTAGTTGATGCATTCCGTTGTTCGCTAACTTTGAGACTGATGATCACTAGAATCAAAGGCTTCAATGAAAATATCAGCAGTATTGGCCTCGAAGGCCACGTGATAGAGACGGAGCTGATCACGCTGCTGCAATGTGCTTTGTTCTCTTCTCGAGTCTCTGTTCCTCAGACGAGGCAATCATGGCCTTGTTGTCAGCAAACAGGACCGTTGCAGAACGAGCATGCTCACCCAAGTCGGTGAGCAAGTAAGTCAGCCAGCGTGACTCCTACGCAGCCATAGCCCTAACGTAAATCTCGGCCTCACAGCTGGAGCTGAGCACAGAAGAAGAGCAAGTAGACCTCCATGAGGCATAACCAGTGCCAAGGCTGAACGTGTAGACCTGTGAAGAGCGGGAAGTCGCCTGGTCGTCAGCCCACGAAGTGTCGGAGTGCCCTGTGGGCACAACTCGGCCTCGTCCACCAAGCACAAGCCCCAAGCCTGATGTGCTGGCCAAGTAGCGCAGCACCCTCTTAGCACCCCGCTAGTGCTCAGTGTCAAGCTATATTTGTTATATCTTATTTGTGTTAGTCTAGGTGTCCTTTATGTTTTCCTAGGGTTAGGGTTATGCCTGCTATATCTTGCTTGTTTTCACTTTCCTTAGTCAATACTTCTAGTTTTGTAACTTGACATGGTATAGAGCGATAAAACGATCCCATGGGCCCACCGCCCCGTAACGTGCCCTAGCCCGAAGCTCCCTAGCCCGAAGCGCCCTAGCCCGAAGCGCCTTAGCCCGTAGCGCCCCGTCAATCCGTGTCTCGTAGTGCCCCGTACCCCGCGCGTCACCCGTTTTCCCGTCGCCTCACCCGTCAGATCCGTCGCGTCGTTACTCTCCCCCCCCCCCCCCCTCGTCGCGACCTGCCCATTTTCCCCCGTCGTGCCCTACCTTTTCCCCCCGTCGCGCTGCCCGTACATCCGCTCGCGTAGTCGCACGCACCCGTACGAACGGTCGCGCGCGCAGCCGCGTGCGACGGCACACACAGCAGCACGCGCAACTGCTCGCCCGTTCGCTCGCACAGCAGCCCGTGCGGCCTGTGCGCCGCGCCACCTGCAACCAGTCCCACAGCCTTCCCCGTAGCTCGATGCCCCACCCGTCCCCACTGCCTTAGCAAGCCACCCCAGCCAGAATAGCCGCCCCTTCCCAGTTCTGCCGCCCCACCCTTAACAGGCCGCCCCAACCAGTTCTGCAGCCCTCACCCGTTCCCACTGCCTCACCTGTAGCCCGCCGCCCCAGCCATATCTGCAACCCCACCCGTTCCAGTCACCTCACCCAGTACCCTCCCCTGCACAGAACCGCACAGAACCATGCAGAACCGCACAGAACCGCACGGAACCGTGCAGAATCGCGCAGAACCGCACAAAACCGTACAGAACCGCACAGAACCGCCGCCTTACCTTCCCCACCCGTCACCAGCAGCAGCTTCCACTGCCGTCAGCGCACCAGCAGCAACTTGAACTACCCTCTAGCAAAGCCAGCAACTTACACCGCCCCACCCGGTACTCCCCACTGCACAGAACCGCATAGAACCGCACCCGCTGCCCCACCCGTTCCAGCCAGAGCTGCTGCCCCACCTGTACCAGTCAGAGCTGCTGCCCCACCCGTTCCAGTCACCTCACCCGGAATCAGCCGCCCCACCCGGTACTCTCCACCCCGCTGAACTGCACTGAACTGCACATAACCGCACAGAACCGCACCCGGTGCCCCACCTGTACCAGCAGCACCAGTAGCAGCAGTTTAGGCTGCCCCAGCGCTCGAGCAGCAGCTTAGACTACCGCTAGTGCACCAGCAGCAGCTTAGGCTGCCCCCAGCAGAACCAGCAGCAGGATAGCCTACCGCCAGCAGCAGTTTAGGCCCACCTGCCAGCACCACCCCCGTTTCTAGCTACTCACATGGCTTGTACTCGAGTCCTACAGCAGCAGGGCCAGCCGCAGCACTCCCGGCAGTGGGGACCTGCGGGTCCAAAGTGTGGAGCCCTCAGCAGTGGCTCAGCTAGCAGTGGGCGAGACGTCGGCCCCTGCGGGTACCGGGCCCTGACAGGCCCTGGTGCTGGCACTACCTGCTGGAGTCCTGATCACTCTGCGTCCAGCCGCTACCGTCGACTCGACGACCTTCACCGTGAGCGTTTTGGTCCTCACGCTATTACACCGCACTGGCCCTCGCGACTTCGCCAGCGCACTGCTGCACTAGTTGAGTCTCACCTACCTGGTCTAGGACCGTTCCCGGCTGCACGAGTAGAGACCTGTGTTTCCAGTCTTGGTGCGTGTGTTGTTTCCAGTCCAGGCGCCTCTGAGGGTCTTTGTGTAGGAGCTGCAGCTACTACTAGTCTAGCACTAGCCTTTGTAGCTGGTTCGGGTGCGACCCCACAGACTGCACAGCTTTCCTTCACCCTAGACTCTGGAGCGTCCAGCTGTTTCTTTCGCGACTGTACTGACCTCACACCACTGCGCACTCCAGTCACTGCCTTAGCTGACCCCTTTGTGGGACCTGTAGTTGCTCGCAGCACCACCACTCTCCCGTGTCCGGCTGCTCCCTCAGGTTTTCTTACAGGTTACTACACCCCCTCATTCTCTAGGAACCTGGTGGGTGTCAGTCACCTCCACGACCTAGGTGTAGTCACCACTTTCCCACTGGACGAGCCTGTTGCCTCCTGCACAGTCGGTACCACTGGGGCCCCTCTGGCCACTTTTCACAGGGAGCCGGGCTCTGGTCTGTACTCACTACACACTGGGTCCCACCGCACTGGGTCAGGCCAGGTCAGGTCAGGGCAGGTAGCTGCTGTG